TCTCTCTCTCTCTCTCTCTCTCTCTCTCTCTCTCTCTCTCTCTCTCTTTTTCTCTCTCCATCCGTCTGTCTCTTTTTTTGGTTTTCGAGACAGGGTTTCTCTGTGTAGTCTTGGCTGTCCTGGAACTCACTCTGTAGACCAGGCTGGCCTCAAACTCAGAAATTCTCCTGCCTCTGCCTCCCAAGTGCTGGGATTAAAGGTGTGCACCACCACTGCCCGACTCCAAAGAAAATTTTCATAAGCATTTAAAGGAACTGGATAAGCACATGAACTCCTCCTCCACACTTTCAGTGGTCTTGGCTGTGGCGCTCCAGCCCTCAGCCCTCACTAATCATGCTGCCTCCATCTTACAGTTCTTGTGGCAGATGAGTAGGAAAGTTATCTAATTGGATTTTCCAAGATTTTACAGCTACTCTGTTTGAGAGACAAAGGTATGGATGCAAATACCACCAGCTACCTTTGACAAAGCTGCCAAGCCTCAATGTCCACCCTAACATGGCTAATGAACCCTAGTTCTGAAAACCACACCAAGACATTGATGCAAAGTATACACATGGCTCAGGGTCCACACCCATGCAGTATCATTCATGGCAACATTTGATATGGAGATCTCAGTCTTGCTGTGCAGTGGGACAGAATGGAGAAATCACATCAGCTGCAGGCTTTCAGGTTACTGGGAGGAGCATGGAGCCATGGGAAGGTGGGGGTGTTGTGCATACACAGGGTGTTTCATTTGACAAAGCAGGAAGTACGCAGCAAAAACTGCTTGGCTGATATAAATCAGTGAGTAAGAGCACTTGCTCTGTAAACACAGGACCTGAGTTCAGTTCATCAGCATCTATAACATTGCATTGGCATGAAAGCAGAATCATTGCTAATGAAATAGAATTGAGAACCCATACTCCTATAGCCACTGGTTTTTGACCCAGAAGCCAAGGATACACACTAGACAAGAGACAGCATCTCTGACAGATGGTGCCAGTCACACTGGATAGTCACATGTAGAATGAACATAGATCCACATTCATCACTCTGCATAAAATTCACCTCCAGATGGGCCAAGGACATCAACATAAGACCAGATACTTTGAATCTGAGAAAAGAAAAGATAGGGAATAGGCTTGAATTCACTGTCCCAGAAAAGGACATTCTGAACAGAACACTGATAGCATAGGCACTAAGACCAACAACTAATGAATGGGACCTCCTGAAGCTGAAAAGCTCTGCACAGCAAAATGACAGAATGAGAAAAGAGATCTTTACCTGCTATCTAGCAGAGAGTTCACCCAGAATATATAAAGAGCTAAGGAAATCAAGCATCATGAAAACAAGCAGATTTTAGCCAGGCGTTGGAGGCGCACGCCTTCAATCCCAGCACTTGGGAGGCAGAGGCAGGTGGATTTCTGAGTTCGAGGCCAGCCTTGTCTACAGAGTGAGTTCCAGGACAGCCAGGGCTACACAGAGAAACCCTGTCTCAAAAAAACCAAAATAAATGGATAGATGATAGATGCTGGTGCTGGAGAAGGTGACCGTATACTCCCTGCTGGTGCAAGTACAGACTAGTGCAGCCACCATGGAAGTCGGTCTGGAGGTGGACATATACTCCCTGTTGGTGCAAGTACAGACTAGTGCAACCACCATGGAAGTCAGCCTGGAGGTGGACATACACTCCCTGCTGGTGCAAGTACAGACTAGTGCAACCACCATGGAAGTCAGCCTGGAGGTGGACATATACTCCCTGCTGGTGCAAGTACAGACTAGTGCAACCACCATGGAAGTCGGCCTGGAGGTGGACATATACTCCCTGCTGGTGCAAGTACAGACTAGTGCAACCACATGGAAGTCGCCCTGGAGGGTTCTAAAACCAACAAAAGCTGAAAACAACTGCTCCACTTGTGGGCACATACCCAAAGGACTATACCATCTTACTATAGAGATGCTTGCTTGCCTGTGTTCATTGCTGCTCTGTTTATAGCCAGAAGGTGTAAACTGCCTAGATGTCTGTGATGGTTTGTATATGCTTGGCCCAGGGAGTGGCACTATTAGGAGGTGTAGCCTTGTTGGGGTAGGTGTGCCACTGTGGGCATGGGCTTAATACCCTTATCCTGGCTGCCTAGAAGTCAATATTTTCCTAATAGCCTCCAATTGAAGATGTAGAACTCTCAGCTTCTCCTGCACCATACCTTGCCTGGATGCTGCCAGGCTCCCACCTTGATAATGGACTGAACCTCTGAACCTGTAATCCAGCCCCAATTAAATGTTGTCCTTGTAAGAGTTGCCTTGGTCATGGTGTCTGTTCACACAGTAAAACCCTAACTAAGACAATGTCCATCAACCAATGGTGTCCATCAAACGATGAAAATATACATGTACACAATGGGGCTATTCAACTGTTAAGGACACAAAACTGAAATTCACGGGTAAATGAGTGGAGCTGGAATCAATCATTCCAGGGGAGGTAACTCAGACCCAGAAAGGAAACATTGCATAGTTTCCTCTCATTTGTAGATGTTAGCTTTATGTCTTTGCATTTGTTTTTTCTTTCTTCTTTTTTAAAAGATTTTATTTTTATATATGATGAGTACACTGTCACTGTCTTCAGACACACCAAGAGAGGGCATCAGATCCCATTACAGATGGTTGTGAGCCACCATGTGGTTGCTGGGAATTGACCTCAGGACCTCTGAAAGAGCAGCCAGTCCTCTTAACCTCTGAGCCATCTCTTGGGCCCATGTCTTCACATTTTGTATGTCTTATTTGTAATACCCATGAGCTCAGGAAAGTAGTAAGGAGTGGGCTGGGGTTGGGGCTTTCGAGGGAGGGGAGCTAGAAAGTGG